GCCCAACAGGGACCTGGAAAACATGGAGTCTGCCCCAATTTTCATAGTAACTTGTTCAAACTGAATGACAGAAGTCCTGGTTTGGGGTTCACATTGTCTGGTACTTCTCATTCCCAGCCCTGAAACCATCTCTGAACCCGCTATCTCGTGCCTGTGCTGGAGCCCTTAAAGGGATGCTCAGATAGACAGACTACTGGGCTCTGCGGTGAGGCACCCTCATGTCTGTGCATGCCCCAGGATGATGCTGGGTGCCAGCAGGCAGACAATTACGATTTTGTTCAGTTCTGCTCACATCATACCGAGAGGGAGAGTGACAAACTATAAGGAGTTTTCAGCCAGGAGCAACGGCACTGGAGTGATTGAATTATCAGAGATGATGCAAGGAGCAAAATCTATTTACCAGTGCTGAAGTGAGAACTGGCGGGCAGGGACATCCAAGTGCATCAACCTCAGCGAGTGAGAGCAGTTAACAGGGATGACTTCAGCTGTGTGACTCAGGACAGAGGGATAGCACAGAGGGCAGAAGAATGTGGCCTGAACTTTAGGACAGCTTGGCAGCAAGGCCCAGCCAGGAGCTTCATCTCCTAAGGGAAGCTGGGAGCTGGCCTGGGCATTAGGTCCCATCTTGGACAAGAGACCAGAGGCCGCTAAGGCTCTCCCATACCCTGTTGTCCTCTTCCTCTGCAGTAGTGACTCAGAGCTCAGTGTTGTTCCCCTTCCTCCAGCACCCCTCAGTGCCGCCTCCTTCCTATCCCGTAGAGAACACCCAGGGTTCCCATTGCTGTTCTCCTCTCTCTGACTTAAGATCCCTCCTTGTAGGACCAGGGGATCTCAGTGCTGTCACCTGAGAGTCACCCAGAGTACCCTGTCCCTCTCCTAATGGTAGCTGCCTCCCAGTTCATCTTCTGGGTGATGTTCAGGACTGACCAGTCTAATGCACCAAGAGTGCACAGAAGAGCCAGGCCTGCCTGTCCCCTGCCCTGGGGTAGCAAACCCTGACAGTAGGTCCCACCTCTAATTCTCCTCTGCCTGGCACAGGGCTCTTTTCCCTTCTGGCTTCTGTCCAGCTGGGCTCCCTCTTCCTTCCCGCTTTGTGAGATGGGAGGGAAGGTTTGAACTTGGTGCCGGCACTGTGCCCTTGGTTCCCAAGGCTCCCAGGCACGCAGGAGGGAATTAAACATGAAGCACCAAGCACAGTACCACAGCACCAGGCGAGGACCTGGAGTCTTGGCCACATCCTGGGGTCCTGGCTGTAGGTGGGAAGGGTGGGGGAGAGCCTGGAACTGCAGGAGATTCAAAGTCAAGATCAAAGCGTTTCCCTCTAAAGCCCTAACACTCTCCTTCCCTCCCACTTGCACATAAAAGCACTCTGCCCTCAGCAGGCTCTCCACTGGGGAGGGTGGGTGGAGGAGGGGGCTGCTTTCCCCCTCGCTTTTCCTGTGTTAGTAATAACTCTTCTCAGAGGTGAAATGGTGAAAATCCTTCCACCCCTCCTCCCCCATGCCTGCTTCTTGCCCATATCCAAAGGGCCTGAAGCCATTTCAACGACTGTGAGTGAGTTCATTGGCAGACCTGGCCTGCTTTGGGGTGTTACCAGCCGATGCCAGCACAGGGGAGATGCAGCAAGCAAAGCCTTTGAAGTGTACAGTAGAAAGACACTGTTAGAGGCAAAGCACGAGGAAGGAGGATTGAAAAGAAAGCAGAGCAGTTTGGCCCACAGGAGGGGGAAAGGCTAATTAAGGCACAGAGCATGGAGGAGGAAAAGGCAGAATCATTAAGATATCACAGCAGGAGCCGGTGGTGTGGCTCCATGGAGGTTTAAGCCATGCTGAGCCTGGCCTCTGCTGTTCGCTCCCCCTCGGTTCTCCATTCCCACCCTCTGCTTTGGGGTGGCACAGGAGTCTGGGGTACTCAGTCAGTTCAGGTTGCTGATCCAGCTGAAAATGAGTTGCTTTAGTTCATACCCTAATACAGACAGAGCTGAAACTCAGAATGAGAGTCGCCATTACCCCTTCCTGACTAATGATCAGAGAGAGGGATAAAGCTTGCAGATGATCCCAAATCGAAGAAGCTGCAAGCTCCGGTGAGGATGGGCACATACAAAGAGGCTGGAGACTGGAAGCACGGGCAGGAAACAGCAGATTGTTTTGGAAAGCCCGGGAAGGTGATATTCTTCTGGCAGTGCCTCATTATGCAATGTCGCACAAACCCAGTAGCATTAAGAGAGACCTGGGATGGGAAACCTGAGGGAAATCAACCTGCTGAGTCAAGGCTGCAGTTTTGTGTTTCTGTTGGTGGTCACAGCAGCTGCTGCTTGTTTCAGCGAGCACCCAGGGCCACTTGCCCCCCAAAGGCACTGAAAGATGGGTTTGTGAGGCTGCTCCCTACATCCCAGCTACAGGCCAGCAGGCAGAGAGGGACTGGAGGGAAGTGGCAGCACAGGGGGGCAGTGGGGACCGCCGGGAGGCAGGGGCTGGGAGGCCGGGGGTGCGGGAGGATCTGGACGGGGGCTTCCCCCATCGGTCCCGGCCAGGGGGAAAATGTATCGGACAGCAGGCAGGGAAGGACGGGGGATGGGATGTTTCACACCTAGCAAGCAGGAGCAGATGGGGCTGAGGTTAAACACCACAAGGAATTAACTTGCACTGCCACAGGGAGCCCAGGACTTAGCAAGCCGTGCCCGTCTCTCCCTTCCCTGGATCCAAGGCAGACTGTTTAGTGATGGTTAGCAATGCGGAGGGGGTTTCTCTTGGGTCTGTAGCTAGTCAGGGAGCTGAGATATGGCCCTGCAGTGTAAACAGAGCTATACAACCCTGCTCAAGTTGTGATTCCCCAGTCCTTTCCCAAGCCCTGCCCCCAGGCACACTCTGAAATGGCCATGGTGTTTGCTGGGGGAGAAACGTGAGAAGTAGAGCCAGAGTGCTGTAAAAGATGTAAATGTTTCGGTGCTGAGAGCAGCTCTGAGTGTCTAGGGCACAGCCTCGGCGGGGGGATGGAGAGGCACCGAGAAGGCACTTCTCTTTTGTTCTTGATCTTGGCTGCCTTAGGAGGGGTCCCAGGAACAATCCTGGAGCTGATTCACTAAAGCGAGCTCACAGCATGTGCTTTATCAGGTGGTGGTCGTGGGGTGACAGGGACAGGACAAAGGGCAGGGAGGAGGAGGAGGTAGGAGGAAGGGTTTGGGGCAGACAGTTATGGCCATCTCATCTCTGTGTCAGATCCCCTGACTCCCTCGGTGCTGGGAAGCCATTTCATCAGCAGGGAAGGGGAGGAATATCCCCTCACCATAAGGTGGGCGAGGGAGCAAAGGAGTCAGTTCAGTCCCGGTAACTACTGACAAGGTGACACACACAATTGCCACAGCTGCAATACTGCATCGTGAAAGGATGTGACTGCCTAGGAGCAACCGTCACCCAGGTCTGATGCAACAGCTGAGAAAAAACCCAATCCTTTTAACATAAAAATTAGTCATCGCTGAGGTCAGGTTTTCAGAGGGCTGATCTCTGCCCTCTGGAGCTTAACCTTTAGGTATGACTGATAGCATTGTGAATTCCAGCAGTAAAAGAGCTGAGAGAAGGGAGATGAGGGCAAGGAGAAAGGGACACTGCTTAGGGACAGGGCCGTTTGCTGAGAAAACGGACTGATGCATCTTTTTTCATCCCTGAGCACATATATTCTGATTTTGTCTTTTGAAGTGTCTGGACCCCTGAGCAGGTAGCAGCAGAGCAAAGACGAGGCAGATGAGGATGAGGGAAGACAAAGAGGGCTGGGAGGCAAGAAACTGCCAAGAGAATGAAGCTACCTGGCGTATGAGAAGAGGGACCCCCTTCTGCAGAAGCTCTGCAGAAGAAACGGTATCGACAGGACGGTAGGTGTGAGAGACGCACAAGGAAGGAAGGGACTCCAGCTCGTAGGATCCCTCACCTCTTATCATCAGACTTGTCCAGAAACTTACTTGTGCTGAAACATTTCATAACCCAGAGTTCGGGCGACTACCCGAATCTGGAAAAAAAATAGTTGGTTTCTGTATTAAACTTGGGATCACTGAGAAGCCAGAGAGGGTGAATTCACTGACACAGCCCATTGCTGCTTTCTCGAAGTCCCTCCCTCCCCCCGCCCGCAGTTTCGCACTGCCCCGCTCCCGTCGGCGCAAGACAGCGGGGAGCACACACTGCCATTCACCGTCACACCGGGGGTCGCTGCCTTATACCGAGGTCCCAGCTTGAGAAATCCCCCGCAGACAGCGGCCACCACAAATTGCGCGTCCTTTTGAAGCAACCCGAAACCTCACTGCCCGCCCCAAAATGACCCAAACGTGCCGGGCTCAGCCCTGCTTTCCCACGTCCCCCGTGACAAGCGGGCAATGCCTGCTGCCCACGGGGACCATCCCTCAGCCTCTGGGGTCCCCAGAAGGAGCAGCTCGCCCTTGTCCAGCTCCTTCCTCAGGAGGAGGGGCGGCAGTGCCCTGTTTCTCCGGCCTCGCAGCCTGTGGCAGCCGCGACGCGGCTCGGCCCTGGAGCCGGCCCGGCAGCCACGGCCCTGCCAAGCCACGGCCTCTGGGCCTCTGCCCCGGCTGGCGCCCAGCGCGGGCGGCCGGGACAGCGCGCCGCAGCTCAGCCAGCGGG